TTCGTTGCTTCTAGATATTGCAATACACATTTTTGCACTTTCATCACTTAATTCTTCGACTGTATGATGTCCACTAATACAAGTGCTATATCTTTTCTTGATTCCAACAAAGGTTATCGACAATTGATACAGGATGGTTTTATTTACAAATTCAATAAACAAACGTCTTAGAAAATATATTTCCGAAATTTCGAAAATATATTGATTCGAAAATATATTTCGAAAATATATTGGATCCGTAAAACCAAGAATTGTAAAATCAAGGTTCATACTGATCCAAATGATAATTTTTTGAACTCGAGTGGTGACCGCCCCCTCCCTCACTCCTCACCCCTCACCCTCACCCTAAAATAAAATTTATCAAGCTCATCATTATCTATTCTTACGACATTTTTTTCTTCGACCAAAAGTGTTTCGGCATTTATTTTTCGATATTTTTTTTTCGACATTTTTTCTTGCGACGTTTTCAATGCATATCCACCAATTCGATATCCAGAATGAGATATAAAAAGTTTAAAATTTTCACTTATACGAAAATGATAAGTTTGAGTTATATAAGAGCTAAATATTCTTCTTCTTTAGTCTTTCTCTCTAATGTTTCTAGTAGTGTTTTTTCTTTTATTCATCTAATCAAAAACTTTGACTAAAATTTGATAAAATATTTGGTTCGAAAAAAACAGTTGCCGAATACTTGACAGACCTTTTCCTTTTACTTAACACAACAGAATTCGATGTAATTTTTCAAGCTCTTACTAATGATGAGGCTCATTTTTTTCGATATCCTTAATCGTTTTTATGATGAAATTTTGTTTTATATTCCGATCAGGGTATCAATTTTTTTACTAGTCGAATTAGAATATAGAAGATGTCGCCTTCTTGACATATTCCCAGTAAAAACCTTTTACAAACTAAAATAAATTTTTGGTTGACATTTTTACTTAACTAAGCCGTCATTATAAAGACTGAGAATATTCTTACATCGATCCAATGTATCTAATATTTTTTGCATCATGTTATTATGAAGAAAAAGAATTCAGATTAATTATGTTGTACTATCTGTGGTACGCTTTGTATAGATAAGTGTTCTAATCAGTTACATATTTAAAAAGTAAACGTTGTTAACAATTAACAATATTCACGGATATACATAGTCTGTTGACGTTGTTGATGTACTTGAAAGGAAGTTTCCCACCTAAAAGATATTTAGATTACAGAAAAAGAATTCAAATTAAAAATATGATTTATTTCTTACCGCAACAGCAATCATCCCAAACAATATACCAAAAAGACCGCCAGTACAAAACATAATGCCAATCACGCACACAGCAATAATAGTGTCCTTTCTTTGCCAACGTCTCGATCTTTAATACAAAAGTAAAAACATTTTGTCTATCCCAATGAAATATCTCTTTCGAAAAGCTTTTTTTCTTCAAAGTATGCTAATAATTGAAGTAACATTCAATAGACAGTGATCTATGCAAATTAAACACTCTCTTAGCTCGTATCCTAAAGAAATCTAAAAGTTTGCTGACTACATAGATATTTTTTCGATAACTTACTGTTCTACTAGTGTCATGTTTAGTGTATATAAAATGGCATAAATGAAATGTGTGAAACATTTACATTTAATCAAAATCACAGTTGGATATATATGACATTAAATACTTTTGAAAAAAATACTTATAACGAGAGTGAAATTCAATAGACCAGTTGATTTTATAACATCGTCTATATGAGTTGTGGATATTTATTGAAATTCACAACATCGATATTTATCTATTCTATCTAATGATCAGCTCTTTTACTTTTAAAAAATATTTTGGCATCGAGTGCTATAGAATGAATTGTACTAACATTTTCTTTTCACTGTTTCATCAATTATCACTTTGATATATAAACCGTGTGTACTTATCCACATTTCATCTGTCATTATCGTTTTTTTTTATTTTTCATTATTACCAGTATTTTGCTTAGTATTTTTTATGAAGTAAACTATACAAGAGATTCGGATCGCGGCTGGCATAATGTGCATCATTGCCAATGGAAGTCATTTTATTTGTGAATATTTTGATGATACGATAAAAACAATGTATCACATAAGGGACCTTTTTGTTCGATCCTTATTCGCTGTAATTCTCTCGTTTGAAGCGATGCCAATGCTGATTCTTCACAATTCATTTCAATTGCGGTTGATAATAGTTTATTATCACGTACAGTTAGTTGATGCCAATGTTTCATAAATTCAATGACATTAGATGATCTCAAGATAGATGTTAATGTAAACGCCATAGCTAATGGCTCAGCAACTGTAGCTTGTAAATAAATCATACAATCTGCTTCAAACTGCATACTGACTGTATGAAACATTGTTAGAAAATAATTATAAAACTACACTACTGGCAATGTTGGTTTGACTAATGATGTTTAGGGGAAAGATCTTTGAATCGTCATTTTTGCTCGATGACCGT